GACCAGCTGCCACTATAGTCATTCTCACAGCTGTACAGATAACAACCGACTGTCACTATAGTCATTCTCATGATAATCCAACTGCAGATAACAACCGACTGTCACTACTGTCATTCTCACAGCTGATAATCCAAATACTGATAACAACCGACTGTCACTACTGTCATTCTCACAGCTGATAATCCAAATACTGATAACAACCGACTGTCACTATAGTCATTCTCATGGATGATATTCCAACTACAGATAACAACCAACTGTCACTATAACTGGTTGATTGGTGTTTTATGGTGCAAAGCACTAAGGCTTATCTGCATCAAACAAACCAGTAAAAAAGAGAAATCATATCAAAGATAAAAAAATAAAAATAAAACATAAAAAATGGTAGAAAAAATAAAATGACCAAAATGTTTAATTGTTTTGCCTTGAAACAATGCTAAGAAATGAAATATAATGAAAAAAGGCCAATGGCTCATAAAAAGCTAAAAACCATTGCCAATGACACTGTTCAACATCAAAGGTAAACTCTGAGAAAAAAAACACAAGGCTAAAAGCAGTATGAAAGCAAAATGTAGGCAACTGCAACTTGGACTATCATTATAGTCATACTCATAGCTGATATTCCAACTACAGATAACAACTGACTATAACTGTAATCTTTGTCACTTAAACCCTTTAACTGACAACTGATACTGTATTTGTTGTTGAAGACTCATACACAAAATGTGAACAAAACTACCCACCACTGTAATTATTGTGACAGTCTTCTGGTCATGGTCAGTAACTGAAGAAACACATAACCTGCATTTATAAAGATTACTTTCAAGATTCTTCTTCAACCACATGAATGCCTTTTTAGTAAAACCATTATTAACTCAAGAAACTAAGTTCTGTTATTTCTGCAATTTTGACATTCTAAAACTTTGTTTGTTTAGTAGGCCATAGCAAAAATATGCATATACCAAAATTCACGAATCATTTCAAAAAGTCACATTCATGAAATATCAGGGTTACTATAACTGTTACAGAAGAACTAATAATGTAAAATTATAAAAATCATTTACCAGGATAATACATGTTAACAAAATGCCAATAATATCAAATTCTACAATGGTTTAGAAATAACATGACTATAGCACATGTTAATGAAAAGCCAATAATACAAAATTCATCATTGATTTACAAAAACATGATTAATTACATGTTAATGAAATGCCAATGCAAAAATCCAAAAGGATTGACAAATGATCATATTACTTCAGATCTTAATGAAAAGCTTATACAATAAAATTTTAAAATGATTTTCCAATGTTTCATATGCCATCCAAATACCACAATTTATTGTATGTTATATCAAATGATGGAAACTAGTTACAATATTCCTTTGAATTACATGACATGGGGAACATGCAGCTCACATTATGGTATTAAATTACATGATATGGGGAATAAAAGTTAACATTTTCGAAAACTGAAAATGTAATTACGATATATACATAGTTCCTCTCACAAAATAGCTTTTTTTTTATTAGTACTGCCCTCTGTTGGTGCAAATTTTCAATGCTTGTCACTAGCCTTCCACCTCTAGTTTCTGCATATCCATATGTAAATGGTTATGTAGGAGCTTTCCACCAACAGGAGCATGACACAACCCCTATCGTAACCAGTGTCCTCTCCACATTTGTACTCATCAATCACTTCAAAATTGGTCAGAAGACCTACACTAGGTATCACCGGAAGTGGGGAGGCTGGGTGGGAAATGAGAGAAGAGGTAAGTATCTATCGGAAACACATTTTTAGTTTAGGAAAATGTTAACTTCCGATACGATATCTTACCACCCCTCACAAAATAGCTAGAATATCACAGTGAACTGGTGGAGGGCCGATAAAAAAAAGATCCCCCTTTAGGAAGTGCCCATAGATAGATCATGAGATGTGGAACCAAAAAAGAAAACATCACATCTCAGCAGGAGACTGCACCATATCCAGGTACACTCTTCACTCTTTTATGACAGTGTTGCAAACACAAAAGGAAGAAAAACATGAAGGAATCCCATAATACGTATTACCGATTAATTGGACTCCTGGGTGTTGACAGACCGTAGTGGTAGTTCGACTTCATTCAACACCTGGCAGTATCTGGAAGTGTAAAAAAAAAGGAACCACTTGGCACAGAGTGAGATCCACAATACACTAGCAAAAAGACTCTTGTAAATAAAGAAATAACAAAATTATAAAAGTCTGTAGTATAAAATAAAACATCAACAAATTTTTGAGTAAAACCAAGCACATCTTTACAGTACTACTGCCAATCAAGAAGTGCTTAATGAGTGCAAATGTGGAGAAGGAACTGGTTACAATAGGGGTTGTGTCATGTTCCGATTGGTGGAGAGCTACTACATAATCATTTACATGTGAATGTGCAGAAGTGAGAGGTGGAAGGCTAGTGAGGAAAATTTGCACCAACAGAGAGCAGTACAAATCAAGAACAGCTATGTTGTGAGAAGAGGTAAGATATTGTATCAGAAAAATGTTTACTTAATATACTTAGAAAACTAGTGTATAAAAACAAGGATGATGATAGCAGGTGCTTTGAAAGGTTTTATGTACTAGATATTTGGAGTTATGTTCAAATCAACTTTATCTTACAATAAAAGCTAACTGTACTTCTATATAATACATTAAGTATTTAGACCATGACTGCAGAGCTGAGAGATTCACTGTTTAATATACTACATTATATAGGATTTTTTTTAAATGAAGTACAAAGAAGGTATAATTTCTCAATGGCAAAACATTACCTTGGCACTGATAACCTTGTTTTCCTAGGCCCCTGTAACAAACAATAATGATAATTATAATTAGACACAAAAACACATTTTTTTTAAATTTTAGGATAAATAATTTAAGTTATTTTAAGCTTCTCTCACACAAAAAAGTGGTTCTGTTACTGTGGTTCATAATAGATTGTTTATAAATTAATATAACATACAAACAGCAAGGAACACTTCGGTCCTTCAGGGCTCTCTTTTCACACCCACATCTTGGCAAAGAACAGTTTGGACCCTCCTTTTTATTTTCAAAGAATATTACAAAGAAACGAAGTATCCCTAAACATTTTCTGAGAAACAAAGTATCCTAGAACTGTGTTAAACACACCATTAAATACTTTCTGAGGAACAAAGTACTCTTTGAACTATATTAAACACACCACTGAACCCTTTCTGAGGAACAAAGCATTCTAAGACTATATCAAACATAGAGCTAAATACTTTCTGAGAAACAAAGTATCCTAGAACTGTGTTAAACACACCACTAAATACTTTCTGAGGAATAAAGTACTCTCAAGCATTATATAAAAAACACAGTACTAAACACTTTCTGAGGAACAAAGTATCCTAGAACTGTGTTAAATATACCACTAAATACTTTCTGAGGAATAATGTGCTCTTGAACTATATTAAACACACTGTGAAACACTTTGAGGAACAAAGTATCTTAGAACCATGTTAAACATAGCACTAAATACTTTATGAGGAACAAAGTATCCTAGAACTGTGTTAAACATACCATTAAATACTTTCTGAGGAACAGAACATCCTAGAACCATGTTAAACATAGCACTAAATACTTTATGAGGAACAGAATATCCTAGGACTGTGTTAAACATACCACTAAATACTTTATGAGAAACAAAGTATCCTAGAGCTGTGTTAAACATACCACTAAATATTTTCTGGGGAACAAAGTATCCTAGAACCATGTTAAACATAGCACTAAATACTTTATGAGGAACAAAGTATCCTAGAACTGTGTTAAACATACCATTAAATACTTTCTGAGGAACAGAACATCCTAGAACCATGTTAAACATAGCACTAAATACTTTATGAGGAACAGAATATCCTAGAACTGTGTTAAACATACCACTAAATACTTTATGAGAAACAAAGTATCCTAGAGCTGTGTTAAACATACCACTAAATATTTTCTGGGGAACAAAGTATCCTAGAACTGTTAAACACACCACTAAACCTTTTCTGAGAACAAAGTATCCTAGAACTGTGTTAAACACACCACTAAACCTTTTCTGAGAACAAAGTATCCTAGAACTGTGTTAAACACACCACTAAACACCTTCTGAGTAGCAAAGTATTCTATAACTATGTTAACCCTCTCAACACGGGGTCAGTCAATTTGACTGACTATGTGACCTCTTTGTACTCATTTAAAGTCTTTATAGATTCAATACTTCTAACTTTCAATATAATGTGTATATCTACACAAAATTTGTCAGTCTTTCAGTTAATAGTATAAGTATTTTTGATAAAATAAAGATTTTTTCATGAGTATATTGAGTATTTGTTTTGAATAGTCTTTGTGCAAAGTAATTTTCATGTTAAAATTAAATACACTTTTCCTCACCTCAAAAATCTCAAATTTCCTTTGATAAAATCCCTAAAACATCCTACTGAAATAAAATGTTCGGAAAACTTTACAGTTTATCTGTTATTTTCTCTACCCTATCTGAAAACGTAATCAGTGAATTAGACTGACTTCGTAAACAACAACAAAAAATCTAAATAAATCTAAGTTACCCTTCTTTCCTTTCTAGTACGACCTCAAATTGTAACAAGAAACTACATTCGTTTATCCTAATGAGCTCTAAGTTTGTAACAGTATACATCTATCTATAATTAAATTTTATTGTTTTATTGCCCTTTGAACTGTGTCTAACTACTATCTGCCCCATTATAAGTTCTAAATCACTCAGGGAATGTGCAGCTCATGTTACGCTAACGAATTACATTACTCACGAGCTACTACAAGCTGCTCATGTGCATGACTTTTGAAACTATTTTTATTATAATACTATT